ACCGTGGTGACTTTTATAAAGGATAACATTTACTTGGGGCTGGTTCACAGTTCACAGGGGTTGGTTCACAGGAGTTTAGTCCATCATCTCATGACAGAAGTGTGGTGGCACTCAGGCAGAGGTAGCTGAGGATTCCACATCTGAATCAGCAGGCAGCAGGAAAAGGACTGGATGCCAGCAGGCCTAGTTTAAGCTTTTGAGACCTTAGAGCACACCCCACCCCATGGTTAGTTCCCCCAATAAGGCCACTGCCTATGGCTTACTGTGGGCTCATTTTGATTCAAACCACAAGCAATAAGGCTCAACCACCAGCACCACATGGCCTCTCAGTCACCATAACTCCAGTGCTTGGGATCCAGGATCATTTTTGTCTCTTTAAGGTTTAAATAGGTCTTTAGAGACAGAGTTTCTCTGTGTACCCCTGGCTGTCTTAGAACTCTCTCTGTAGACCAAGCTGGCTTCGAACTCAAAGATCCACCTGCCTCTGTCTCCTGAGTGCTAGGATTAAAGCCACACCACCACCCTGCCCAGGTTAAAAGATCTATGCTTAATTGTGTGTTGGTGTGTGCATATAAAAGCATGTGAAGAAGTCAGAGGTGTCAGATCCCCGGAGTCACAGACGCTTAGCATCTTTTGTGAAACTGCTCAAGACTGAGGCTTGTCTTGCACTTCTAATGCTTAGAAGTCACATGAGGCCAGGCGGTGGTGGCACACGCCTTTAATCCCAGCACTTGGGAGGCAGAGAGAGTCGGATATCTGAGTTCAAGGCCAGCCTGGTCTACAGAGTGAGTTCCAGGACAGCCAGGGCTACACAGAGAAACCCTGTCTCGAAAAACCAAAAAAAAAAAAAAAAAGAAGTCACATGAGAGTGAAAGAGGCGCTCAGTGGTTGAAAGCACAAACTGCTCTTGCAGAGGACCTAATTATTGGCTCACAACCACGGTAAATCCAGCTCCAGGAAATCCTGGCTTGTTTTATAATCGTCATGGCATTCCCTGATCCCTAAATTTCTCATTCAGTAAGTTTCTTCAGGAGGTACAATATTCTCCATCCTCCGGGGCCTCAACCATGTAGTAGACTACATTTAACCTAAGACGAAGTAGAGTTGCTGGAAGCTAGGGAAGAAGGGGGCCATGGACCATGATTTATTGCAGAAGAGTGGAAACAGCCAGGTCAGAGCTCCGGCATGCAGCCAGAGCTGGAAACTAGCAGGTCTGCCAGATGGGAACGCCCGACTGGCAAGTCATCAAGCAGGATGCGGGGAGGCTCTGAATGGCTTTTCTGGTCCTGCCAACCAGTTCTTGCCGAACATGGGGCCTGGATGGGCTACAGAGACTCTACTTCAAAAAATGAAAAAGGGCCACACATAGAGACCATAATTTTAAAAAGAGGCTTTCCAGGGACCAAAACGATTTATCTTTGAATAAACTGCGGCTTGAAATAAAACTCTTACTTCCGCCCCAAGCGTAGCAGGACGGACCTCCGAGGGGAAGAACCCCACGCAGGCACTTCCGCCCCTTTCTAAGATGGCGCAGGCGGAAGGCGCCTGTCACCGCCCGCTGGCGACGTCGCGACTGGAGTTGAACCTGGTGCGGCTGCTTTGTCGCTGTGAGTCGATGGCGGCAGAAAAACGAGATCCTGATGAGTGGCGTCTGGAGAAGGTGAGGGAATCCCACGCCATGCCGCCGCAGAGGTCTGGAGCCCTAGAGGCCGGTGACCCGACTCACAGGCCACTGTCCCCGCCCCTTCTGATCGGCGGCGACACGCCCCTCGTGCGTAGACCCCTGACGTCCTGGTTTCCCTACGGATTCACACATAGGCCACGCCCTCCCAATTCCACGCCTTCGCCTGTGCCCCTCCCCTCTCTGATTCCTCCTCTCCCGGTCCCACCCCTCTCCTAACCCTTTCTGTGGTTTGCTCCTGACTTGGGGCACTGGCCTGCCTGACACCGTACCTTCCCTCCCAGTATGTGGGTGCCCTGGAAGACATGCTGCAGGCTCTGAAAGTCCAAGCAAGGTGAGTGTGGGGGCACCGAGACACCCCCTCCCACGCTGCCACAGCTGCAGGTTGACTTTCTCCTGCTGCCTTTCAGTAAACCAGCCTCGGAAGTGATCAGCGAGTACTCCCGCAAAGTGGACTTTCTGAAGGGCATGCTGCAGGCTGAGAAGTTGGTGAGCATGCCCTCCCACCCCTCAGGCGGGCATCACTCATTTCCCCACAGCACCTAGGACCAGGACACGGCCCCCCAGTAACTCATCATCCCCTTCCCATGTCTCCTCAGACCTCCTCCTCTGAAAAGGCTCTAGCTAACCAGTTCCTGGCTCCTGGCCGCGTGCCCACCACAGCCAGGGAGCGGGTGCCTGCCACCAAGACTGTACATTTGCAGTCTAGGGCACGTTACACCAGTGAGATGCGGAGTGAGCTGTTGGGCATGGTACGATTCCCTCCCTCGTCCCTGGGACCAACCTCTGGATAGCAAAAGAGTACAGTCTTCAGAGAGAAAGATTGGAATAGTATCACAAATCCTAGAGGGCCATAATCAAGGCTTCCCCAGGAAGGCACTGTGCTCAAGAAGACGAGCTTGGCTAGGTGGTGGTAGTGCATGTCTTTAACCCCAGCACTCAGGAGGCAGAGGCAGGCAGATCTTTGTGAGCTCGAAGCCAGCCTGCTCTACAGAATGAGTTCCAGTTAGCAGGGCTACACATAGAAACTCTGTCCTTAAAATACAGACTGAAAGAAAAAAAAAAAAAGGACTATGTGTAGTTAAACCCTGGAGTAGACCCCACAGCTTCACGAGTCAACCCAAAGCAGAGGGAGAGAGATTTAGGGGAGACGTCACAGTGCATGCCTCATTCCTCTTTTCGTCCCCACAGGAGTCATCTGGAGGTGAGACATCCTGAGCATGACTGCTCTGCCACCTCACAGCCCTCATGCCTGCCCGGCTCCCTTGATCTTTCCCAGCCCAGAAAGAGGTCCCCCAGGGTTATCTTTGAGTTGTGCCTGAGGAGAGGCTGAGAAAGAGAGGGTGGTCCCCAGCACAGTGCTAGGCCACTGAGAGGGACCTGGGACCAGGGATAGGAGGTGTTCTGCAGAGTGGGGAGATAGCAGTTCACAGGCGGAACAGCATTTTGCTTAGCAGACATGGCACAGCTCAAGGTCAGAAGTCTGGAAACAAGAAAACTATCTTCTTTGTTCTTGGCCTCTTTTGCTTCCAGAGCATGAGGTGGACATGAGGAAGCGAGCGTGAGTATTTTAGCCATGGTGTGACAGGGAAGGGAAGGGAAGGGAGCGGCTGAAGCTGGGGCCCCTGCTGCTATAAGGATCAGCCGCCTGCTGGAAGTCCTTTCTGGGGCTGCTGTTCCCAGGAGTGTAAAAGAGCAGGGGGAACTGAGTCCCCAGTAGAACTGAGGGTGGTACCATGGCCCTGGGATCCTTGGGAAGGGGGCACATGGATGTCTATACCTACCTGTTACTACTGGGGACCCACAAATGTGGGGTCTGCAGTGTGAAGGGGCCCAGACCTGCAGATGAGAAGCAGTCAGCGTCCGAGCTAGACCTCGTCCTCCAGAGGCACCAGGGCCTCCAGGAAAAGCTAGCTGAGGAGATGCTAGGCCTGGCCCGCAGCCTCAAGACGAACACACTGGCTGCCCAGAGTGTCATCAAGAAGGACAACCAGGTATGGTAACACTTGAAGCCTCTGTCTGCCTCAGGACACTGAGGAAGATCTGCAAGAAAGGGGCATTGTGGCTGGTGTTTTGCTGGTTGAGCAGGAGTTCGGTAAAGCCCAGGGGCAGGGGATGGCTTAGCATACTTGGCAGAGGGCACAACATGAGCCAGAAGCACAGGCTACTCAGGAGAAGGCACATTTGGGTTTCAGTCCTGTTGACACAGTCCCTTCTGCTCCCACAGACCCTGTCACATTCACTTAAGATGGCAGATCAAAACCTGGAGAAGCTGAAGCTGGAGTCGGAGCGGCTAGAGCAGCATGCACAGAAGTCCGTGAACTGGCTGCTGTGGGCCATGCTCATTGTCGTGTGCTTCGTGTTCATCGGCATGATCCTGTTTATCCGCATCATGCCCAGGCTGAAATAAAACGAGAGCCTGCGCACCAGCCCACGTGCCCTCAGTGCCAGCGGGTGGGTGCGTGCGTGCATGCATGCAGGGCGGTGCCAACCAGGACACCTCTATCCTGAAGTCAGCCTACAGCCCCTCACCTGGGCACTGTGCTCCAAAGGCCTAGGGCAGCCTGCAATACACAGCAAAGCCAAGTCTCAAAAACAGGAAGAAAAGTTAAAATCTGCCTGAGAAGCAGTGGAGGTCTATTGCAGTGGCCACGAAGTCCCCCTCCCTAGGGAAGCCGACTCAGGCAGTCTCTGTGCGTTCAGGGCCGGCCTGGTAGACATAGAAAATTATAGGCAGACCTGGGTAAAGACACTTGTCACAAAGCCTGACAGCCTGAGTTCCACCCCAGAGCATGAGCAAAACAGTAAGAATAACGGACAAAAAAGCCAATCAAAAACTATATTTAATAAATGTATTTACTGTAACCGTAACCCCTGGGAGTCTGACATACGCACACACACACACGTAGTTAACATAATAAACGTCACTTCTTAGAGGTTAGGGAGATGACTCTGTATGAGTGTGAGCTAAGTATTCAGATCTAGGTTCGAATCTCCAGTACCCTTCTAAAATGGCAGAAGTGAGGAGCAGGAGCCTATCATCCCAGTGCTACGAGATACAGGCAGATCTACCTGGAGCCTGCTGGCCAGCCAGAGCAGCCAAATGGGGACCATCAGGTTTTGGGAAAAACGTAGGGGTGGACGATACCCAACTGCCTGTATTGGTCTCTGCGTATGCACAAAGTCACAAAGAATTTTTTAAATACAACTGCTAAAGAAAAAAACCAAGTTGGTTTTTTAAAAAAAAATCTAGCTGGTTTTCCCAACAGACAGGGGGAAATGAAGAGGTCAATCAGCGCTGGGAAGTCTTGTTCCAACCCAGCGTGGAACACTCGCCGCAGGCTCCGCCCGCCCGCAGAGCCCCGCCCTGGCGGTCCAGTGCCCGCGCCGGCGGCTCCACCCGCACTTCCTGCAGAGCTGCGTTCCCGGCTGCAGGGCCAAGCGCGCTCCGGGACAGGTGACACCGAGCGGGACCGTCGGCTAACCACGGGCGGGCGGGGGCCGGGAGCTCCGCGGGCTGTAACCGCGCGAGGCAGGAGGCGGAGGGGTCGTCTCGACTCGGCCCGGGGTCGCCATCCGCCGCTTTGCGCTTTTCCGGTTTCAAGGATGGGGCGGGGCCTCCGCTGCTCCGCCAGCCACTCTCGAGCATGACGGCACGTTGACGTCACCGCGCCGCTTCAGCGCCCCTTTCCGGGGTCCGCACTAAGGGGCGGAGTCTGGGTTGCGCGGCCAGCCAACCGCGCTCGCGTATGCAAATACACGCAGGCCCCGCCTCCAGGCGCGGTCCGCTGGCCTGCGGATCCCGGTCCAGGCGCCCAGGCCCGGATGCCGCTTGCAATCTGCGCCCTGCCGCCGGGGGGCGCCAGAGCACTGTGGCCCCACGCATGCCTGCCCGGCAGCGTCCGCAGCCCCACGCCGGACGGCCGCAGTGCCAGCCCGGGCCCGGAGAGCTCTGCACGAGGGCCCGGAAGATCGTGTTTGCGGATGAGCTTCGCCCCTCGGCCCCACTGCACCCAGAGAAGCGTCCCAGGGATCTGGGACATCGCCCCAACCGAGTGCCTGACTACGAGCTGTGAGTGCCCCCTCGTGGCTTATTCTTGTAAGACTGGCTCTGGTCGTGTAGTACAAGATAGCCTCTAAAGAGTAATGATCCTCCTGCCTCAGCCTTCTGAATTCATCACGCTCACGTCCCCTCAGTGCTTCTTAATACCTGGGAAACAGAAAGGTTGGGGGTTTGATGGGCGAATAAGAGTTTATGAAATTATGAAATGGGATTGGTGGTAGAAGGCATTTTGATTTGGGGGTCCCAGCACCAGCAAAGAAAAGCCAATTGGCATGATGGAGTGGAAAGACAGATTTCCCTCTACTCACACACTGACTGATCCCTTCCAACCTTGTAGTAAGTACCCACCAGTGACCAGCAGAAGGGACCGGAGCCGCTATGCCGCAGTGTTCCAGGACCAGTACGGGGAGTTCTCGGAGCTCCAGCGGGAGGTGGGGGCCACACAGGCTAAGCTCCAGCAACTGGAGGCCCTGCTGCTGTCACTGCCCCCGCCGCGAAGCCAGGTCAGCCCAAGACCCTGTGCCCCAGCTCCCTGCGGCTGTGCTGTGTCTACTGGTGTCACGCTGTCACAGCCATGGTGGCCCCTCTGAGCCTCTTCCCCACCTTGCCCTTTCAGAAGGAGGTCCGCATGGCAGCTCATGTCAGGAGAGAGTTTGAGAAGAAGCAGTCGGTGAGGAGACTCCTGGGGCCACAGATTTGGCTGTGTGTGTGTGGTGCTGTTCTGATGCTGGGACCGTGTAATCAAAGCTGAGGTTTATAATGGAAAGAGGTGAACAGCTTGAGGGCCTCTGGCTAGAGTGCCAGGAGGACTTCCTCAACTCTTGTTCCCCTAGGATCCTGGCTTCCTGGATAAGCAGGCTCGCTGTAACTACTTGAAGGGTAAACTGAGGCACCTCAAGGCCCAGATCCGCAAATTTGATGACCAAAGGGACAGTGACAGCGAGGACTCCGTGTACTTCTGAATGTCCTAGAGAGATAGTTGGTGGCCGACTCCTCCTCCCATGGGGAACCACACCTGTTGAGAATCCCAGAGAATAAACATGGATTAGACACCTACTATGTGTAACTGCCTAAAAGCATCCCTCCATTTTACAGTGGGGGAAATGAGGTCCAGAGACTTATCCAAGATCTCTGTGGAGGCAATGACTGTAGGTTCCAGGAAATCATAGCCAGAAGGCATGTTTGGGCAGCCTGGTACAAGTGTTGTGATGGGGCACACCAGGGGTAAAGGCTGGGCAATGCTTGGGGCCTGTGTGCAGGGGCTCACCCTCAGAATACCCTGGTCCTGTCCACTCTGCATCGGTCCTCAGTTTCCCCGGCCTAGGGTCAGTGCTGCATAGGCTGTGTGTTGTCTGAGACTCTAACCCCTGACCCACTGAGGATGACAAGATCCAGGCCACTCGCAGGCCAGCAGTCTCTTAGGAAGATGTCTTCGACAGAGAGGCCCACATGTATGGGGTTTGTAGGGAGAGCAGATCAGCTAGCGCTCAACGCAGGCCTCGGGCATGCTAGGCTTGGGTCTCACTTAGTCCCAACCCAAAGTTGGGCCCCTAACTCCCTGATATTTTTCTTTTTCCAAGGCTGGGTTTCTCTGTGTAGCACTGTCCTTAAACTCACTATATAGACCAGGCTGGCATTGAACCGAGATTGGTCTGCCTCTGCCTCCCATGTGCTGGAATCAAGGGTGTGTGCCACCACTGCTGGAGAACTCCTACAGTTCCTTTCATCACCAGCCATCAACATGGTTAGTCACATCTCAGTCTGTCCTCCACCTTCTTTATGGCAACTTAAGAAATGGGGATATGTTACTTGGGGGAAGAAACTGAATTCAAACTGACCCCAACATAAAAAACCAGGCTTTCAGGTGTGGCTTGATCCAGCAATTGGAAAGCTGTTTTGGGAAAGCCTTTACCAGGGCCTCTTTATTCCTCCACAGTAGTGAGGCCAAGATTCCCACCCCCACTGGGGCCTACAGAGCACAGGCTAGACCCTGGGGTTACTTCCCCAGCACTGCAGAAGAAAGCAGAGGCCGACCAAGTAAGGGAATATCTTTATTATTGGCCATGATTTCATAACCCCATGGTGCCCTCCATGGACCATGTATCCAGGAGACGCTCCTGGCCCATGGTACACCTGCCCAGCTGCAGTGGCCCTTCCAGATACCCATGACACCGGAGGCACCAGCATGCTGGCTCCAGACCCTCCGCCCTACCCTGATGAAGGGATGCTGGGACAAGGCTGGGGCCTGGGAGATCTGAATCTTTTTGGTTTCATGATTATTTAAAAAATAAAACAAACCAAACATTTCACAGTCTTTAAATTTAAAAAAAGAAATCAGTCTCAGAAGAGAAGCTGGGGCCTGATCCCCAGGGTCCCTGCAAGGCCCCAGCTTCCATGTGTGTCCTGGAGGATGCCCATCACTAGCCCGAGCCATAGGGCCAGTTAAAGGTGCTCCCTGACAGAAGCATGTCCCGGATGAGTGTCTCGATGGGTGTCTTGCCCACCAGGCGCATGAAGAAGAGCTGGGAGATGAGAGACGCGGGCACAGCGCGCAGGGCTGGCAGCCGCAGCAGCAGGCGCCCAAAGCGCTGGGGCTGTGATGGGTACTGGGCGCGCACATACTCGGTGAGGGCCACCTGTGCCTTCTCCTGCAGGCTCTCCACATGGGCTGGGTCAGAAAGGCCACAGGCATCTGCAGGAAGCAGGGACAAGGGCAGTCACGGTTGGGGAAGTAGGGCCAGAGGCCTACAGGGGAGAGGCTAAGGATGCCACCGGAGGCAGGCATGAACAAAGCTGCGATCCCAGGGCACATATGGGAGTATGTAAGTCAGTGTCCACCAGACTAGCCTGTAGAACCGAAGGAACGGGCTCGGGAATGCTGCTCCACACATGGCTAAAGGGAGGGGCATCACTACTCTACACCATTTTGTGGGAGGAGACTCCAGGCCAGGATCTCCCTCAGCCACGCCCACCGGAAGGCCTCGCTCCATAGCAGTGCCCAGCTATCCCTTTTGTTCTCTCAGGAGGGGATTGGACAAGGTCTGAACCTGTAATCCATACAGTCCGAGAACTCGCTGGTCTCTTTTCTCAGCTCACACCTCGGGGTCACTAAAATGTTACACTGTCTTCCCCTACCGCAGCAAAGGCATGTCATCAGGGAGAGTGGCCCTGTGGGGTATGGCTCCAGAACAGAGGCAGGAGCTCAGAGGTCTGCCCTGTGAGTGTGGGCCTGGGTAAAGAGTAGCATTAATAGCATGGCCTGGAGCCTGCCTGAGTTGTATCTTCCTACTGTTTCAGGGTCCAGTAGGGTACTGTCTGGATCAGTTTGAGGGCATGATGGGGCAACACCAGGAGGAGGATGCAGAGTGCAGTCTCAAGCAGCCTGGTACATGGCCTGGAGCAGTGTCAGGAACCTGGGGTGAGGTCTATGGCAGGGTATGATATGAGTAGGGGTCTGGGGTAGTGTTAAGCCAGAGTGCAGCATCACCTGTGTCAAAAGGGTGTGGCCTGAGGCAGTGTCCTCTCAGTCTGGCTGGAGTGTCCCAGGTTGGCTAGAGAGGGTTGCCTGAGGCTGAGGTGGGGGCGTGGTCAGTCTGAGGGCGTGGCCTTGGGTCCAGTTGGGAGCCTGGTAAGTATGTGGCAGAGCAGTCTGCTTGGAGGCGTGGCTTGTCCCTGGGAATGGGCTGCTTAGGGCGTGGCCTGTGTCTAGATGGGGCTGTGATGGGGTGGCTCACCAGGCGTGAAGAGCGCGATGGCCTTGAGGCAGCCATACTCGGCAGCATCCACCTGCAGGCGGCCCAGCTTGTCCACCTGCTCCTGGAAGGCACGCACCTGGTCCATGAAGGCCACGGCGCGCTCGGCAGCCATGGGCGCGGCGTGCAGCCCCGCGGCGGCCAGCAGCGGCGCCGTGTGCAGTGGCAATGCCGCCTGCGCCGCGTTCAGCACGAAGAGCTCACTCCAGCTGAGTCGCAGCAGCGCCACCTGGTCGGCGGCAGGCAGCTCGGGGAAGAAGGGCGCGTGGCGGGCCCACTCGACCGTGCTGAACAGCAGGCGGGCCGCCAGCTCGCACACGTTGTCAATGCCCAGCACGGCGGCGCCGCCGCCAAAGCGTCCGGCTGCGGGGTAGGGCTCAGCGCGCAGCAGCTGCGCGATCAGCTCGGACACCGGAGGACCCGTGAACGGCTCGACGCCCGTCGCGCCCGGGGGGCTGCAGGCCGCGGGGCCCGGAAGCGCGTGCGGGATGCGGCCGCGCTGCACGGCTGCAGAGGGAGACGGAGCGAGTCAGGCGGCAGCGTAAGAGAGCCACCCCACCCCGTGTGGCCGCACAGGGGACCGGGCACGCACTAGGCACCAGTAATGTCTGGCGCCCCCCCCCCAGCATCCCCCCCAGCTGTACCTCCTTTTGCAAAGTGAAGGCAACATCTGTCAATCACCGAGAACTCGGGCTCCGTCTCTGGCCTCTCCCGCTACTTGTAATTCTCCCCAGGGGGACCACATCGCTAATGCGGCATGGTGGTGGTCCCCAAGAGCAGGGGCTGCCATTATTAGCTTTGCCTATGGTGGTATATACCTCCCATCCCAGCTCTGGGGCATGGAGGCAGGAAGGTCAGGAGCTCAAGGCCAACCTCAACACAAACTAAGTTTGAGACCAGAATGGGCTACAACTGTTTCAAAAAATAACTGAAAAAAAAAATGCAATGCTAAAGTTCTCGGTCACAAACAGAGTGAAAGTAAACAAAAAATAACTGAAAAAAAATGCAATACTAAAGTCCTCGGTCACAAACAGAGTGAAAGTAAACTGAGGCACCAAGGAGCACAGGTTGGCTCCCCAAGGCATTTTAGCATGGGGAAGGCAGCCTGGGCGGGGAGCCAGGAGGCATCTAATGAGCATGCTTTAATGAGCCGGCACCTGTCTCACTGGTGGGTGAACTCCGGGTCAGCCCAGGAAGAGCCAGAGCCAGGGATGCAGGGCACACAGGAGGCACCCAGGCCAAACAGAAGAGAAGCTGGGAACCACATGTCAGCTGGAGCCAGACTGGGCTCCAAATGCTCCCACGGTCCTCTCTCTGCTCACAGGATGCGAACCCCACCCTCACTACTGCTCCCTCATCCAGCTCTGGACCTACTCCAGGGCCTTTGCCCAGAATATTCCACATCTCCAAATCTTGTTTCTCCCTCTCCCCTCTCCCTCTTCCATCCAGTCTAGACTGCAGGAATTCACAGGTCAACACGCTCCTCACGCTATGCTCTCTGCCTGTTCCTCCTGTGTCAAAGGAAGATGACCACTAAGCTACATGAGGATCTAAGTGACTTTGCTTTCAATATTCCTGTCAGGTGTGAAGGGCTGGGTGGACCACTGGTCGAATCCTGCTGAGTATCAGGCCCTGCACAGGCCTGGGAGATGGGCACAGGAATGGTGTCAGTTTCAGAGCAACATGGACTGGACATACAGTAAGCAGGAGACCCTGAGAACTAATAATCAAGGAGGTGAGGGAGGAACAAGGCCACATCTGGAAGGAGGAACAGCTATGCAAAGGCCCTGAGGAAGCATGGCACTAGAAGCAAGAGCCCAAGAGATCACAGGCTCTGACTAGAGACCTATCAGGACTTTCTATCAGACAGACAAGTCTTGACAAAAATTCAGTCTGGGGAAAGACAGAGCAGGAGTCACCTTCAAACTTAAAGGGTCCAAAGAGTCATCAAATAAGGCTGATGCTTTTTTGTTGTTTTGTGTGCGCCCATATGCATGTGGTTTTTTCTAACCAGGTTTTGCTATGTAGCCCAAGCTGACTTCAAACTGGAAATCCTCCTGCTTCAGCCTCATAGATGCTAGGATGACAAGACTGCACCACTCTGCCTGACTGCCAGGCTCTCAGAAGTCTGTTACGTGATGTCTCAGCCTGGCCCACACTCCAGGCTGAAGTGGGAAGCACAAGCAGCTTCCTTCTGCACCAGCTAAGGCACCCAACCCTCGGGCTCTGAGCGAGGGCACCTAACAGAATCTGAGGCTCAGCTGTGCAGTGTGTCTGTCCACCCAGGTCGCATGGGCAGGGACAGGCAACTGAGTCGCCCTTTGGCAGCCTTTGGCTGTAAACTGGCTGAATCCTGCCTTCAGCAAACACACAGAGCAAAGAGTTAACAAATTTTAAAAGTAAAAATAATACTCTCAGTTCAGAAAGAGAGTAGGAGGTCATGAAGAGAAAGGGCAAGGCCCTGTCCTTTGAGGTCAGAGGTCAGGCAGGGCCTGGGGAAAGAACTGAGTGGCTGCACCCCACTACCATGTATCTGGTATCCTTGGTGGATCCCCAACAAGGGCCTGGCTATGGCCACATCCCCACGGCTACTCACCCTCCTTGCGCATGCCCACCCGGAAGCACTTCTTGAGGCGACAGTACTGACACTGGTTTCGGTGGTGCTGATCAATCTGACAGTCACGGTTGGACCTGGAGACACAGGCCAGGGTTCCCAGTGATATGCCTGCAAACCCTTGAGAAACACCAGTGGGGGCTCCCTGGCCTGCGATGGTAGCCCCAAAAACACACTGTGAGGACTCAGTTCTCCAACTTGGAAGGGCAATCTGATCATAACAGGTGCTGAAGCACAGCACACAAGGGGGTCTTTAAGGATGCACAAAAGTCCCCCAAGGGGGCATATGGAAAAGTCCCCCAAGGGGGCATA